GGAAGTGGTTCAGACTTCTGGGGCCTACGCACAGGAGAGCAGCCAGATGTTCCCATAGATCCGGTGTCGTGATTTTTCAATACGGGGTCCCCGGAAGTCTCCATTAATGCATCTTGAGTCGTTTTTTGACGGTCCCGAGACCCAGCGAGGGCCCCTAGGGGCCGAACTTTGCGAAAAACCTTCGTCTTGATTTTTCAATACGTTGGATCTCTGGGCCTGGGCCCAGGCACCACGTGGCGGGAGTCCCAGAGGTCCAGACCGCTTTCCTGGGGCCGGCTTGTCGTCCCGAGTCGTTTGTTGGACGGTCCCGAGGCCGGGCGAGGGCCCCTGGCGGCCGACAGCGGCACCAGACTTAAATCGGGCCTGTCCCTCCTCTACAGGGGGGAATATTGAAAGATTGTCAAACATAGTCTGGGGACCATTTTTTGAGTATTCCTGTGCACCTTCTGAGTCTATTTTGGGGTACTCTTTTGTTTTCGTCCGAAAATCCCCCTGTAGGGGGACGGGCCCGACTTGACACCAGACCCGCCGCCACAATTTTTTTTTGGAGCGTCGGCTCTCGAGGCTCCAAGCACCGCGTGGCGGCGCAGGGGCCGGCTCTGAGGTGGCCGTGGCAAGCGGCGTGAGGCCTCGGGCCAGAGGCCGCTGGAGCCGAGTCGGACGAAGGGGCGGCGAGGATCCTCCAGCGGAGGGGACGTCGGGAGAGGGAGGCCGACGGCGGGGCAGGCGTCGACGACGAGAAGCGGCCTCGGCATCGCTCGGACGTGTGCAGTTTTCCTTCGGCGAGGACCATCGAGGGGCATCCTTGATCATTTGGCGAAGAAGCCACGCACGAAGCCGACAAAAACACAGGGAATGGACGTCAGATGGCCAGTGGCGCAAGCACACACACAAGCCAGGGTCCGCTTCGATCCAATTCGATGTCGCTTCCAGCCGGCCCGATCCGCTTCGCTGCCGACGTTCCGATGGTCCGATGCGGCCCCGTGCTTACCTGGCGCTGCTGCGCATCCTGGCGCGGCCGACCCGACCCGATTCCGATCCCATGCCGACGAGGCCCGATCCGACGCACATCTCGTTCCCACCCGATCTGCCTCGGACAGGCGGCCGCTCCAACTCTGTCGATGCGTGGCCCCCGGAGGTCCGGACCGCTTCCCTGGGGTTCAGTCGGGCCTGTCCCTCTACAGGGGGGAAATTCAAAAACGGTCGAAAAATAGTTTGGGGATGTTTTTTTAAGTATTTCTGGGCATGTCTGGAACATGTTTGGTTTTTTTTGTTCTTTTGTTTTTTTTCGTCCAAAATCCCCCTGTAGGGGGACAGGCCCGACTTCCTCCTGGGGCCGGCTTGTCGCCCCGAGTCGTTGGTTGGACGGTCCCGAGGCCGGGCGAGGGGCCCCTGGAGGCCGACAGCGGCACCAGACCCGCCGCTCCAGTTCTGGGCCGGAGCGACGGCTCAGCTGGGCTCCTGGGCAGCAACCCTCCCTGGCGGGAGGGGGAGGGGAAGGAGGAGGAGGAGGAGGAGGAGGAGGAGGAGGAGGAGGAGGAGGAGGAGGAGGAGGAGGAGGAGGAGGAGGAGGAGGGAGGAGGAGGAGAGGAGGAGGAGGAGGAGGGGGAGGAGGAGGAGGAGGAGGGAGGAGGAGGAGGAGGAGGAGGGAGGGGGAGGAGGAGGAGGAGGAGGAGGAGGAGGAGGAGGAGGAGGAGGAGGCGATGCTTAGGGGTCGATGCGGACTGGTCCTGCAGACCTCTGGAGGGCGCTGCGGCTCTGGCGCATCGGCGCGCGGGCGCCCCCCCCACCGCCAGGGGCGGGCGGCGGCGAGAGCGCGTGCCCGGGCCTCCCCTCCCGAGGGCGGGGGCCAGGACTTCCCCTGGCCGAAGTCGTGATTTTTTCGCAGCGTCGACCCCCAGCTGGGGGTCGACACCCCATGGGGGTCGACCTTTAGCTGGGGGTCGACGTCGACCCCCAGCTGGGGGCCAACGTCGACCCCCAGCTAGAGGTCTGAACCCCTTCCCAGGACCAGTGTTTCGTCCTGGGGTCCAGACCTCCAGGGCCCACGCATCGAGAAATTGGAGCGGCCGGATGCCTGGGAACAGCTGCCCCTGGGGACGATCGGACAGGGCCAGGACGAGGATAAATCCGTTCCAGAGCGCTCCCGAACGCTGTCAGAGCGTTCGGGAACGCTCTGAGAAGGCCGCGGCGCGCGCCCGAGACATCTTCCACAGCCGCCGGATCTCAGAGGTTCCCGATTTACCCTCACCCGAATGTATCCCCGTCCTGGCCTCGTCTTACTTCGGTGGGGACGCCAACTATACACCTGCACCGATCCTGATTCTGACCATGCCAACCCTGGGCACAGCATCGGCGTACGCATGTGGCATGCCTGCCTGGCCGGGCCGGGCCGGGCTGGGCTGATCGACCTTCAGGCCTGGCCGATCATCCCGGCCGATCCTGGGCCCAAGGTGTGGAGGCTTGGCCTCGCCTTAGTCTGGCCTCGTCTTAGTTTGGC